TAATATTATTTAATATATTTAATATTAATATAATATATTAGTATCATTTTAATAAAAATATTAATTATTTATTCATTTTTAATAATATAATATTATATTTTTAATATTAAAATAATATAATTAATTATTTATAATAATATATGATATTATATTATTATTTCAATAATACAATAAATTATTAATAAAATTTATATTATTTATTAACTTACAAAAAAAATATTATTATTGAATTATTAATAATGAATAATATTATTCATGTATTTAATATTAATATAATAGTCTAGTAATATTTTAATAAAAATAACTAAATATATTTATTAATAATTTTCAAAATATAATATTTTTATTTTAATAAATATTTAATATAATTTATAATATTTTTATTTTAATAGAATATAGTAGTCTGAATATTTTTATAATAAATAATATTATTTATTGTATTTGATATTTGTAATAAATACTTTTTAGAAAATTTACTAACTAGTGAAAAATGGTTTACACACCATCTTCTAATCATTGTCAAATGTTTTCTAGAAAATATTGTCTAAAAAATGTATTTCATTCTACGTAAAATATTTTTCAAAAAATATTTTCAGTGAAATAAACATAACCTTAATATTATCACTAAATCTGATTTTGTTTCAATAAGAATTTTATATGTTTGAACGTTTTATAATTCTACATCATCATCTTTAACAAACACAAAATTTCAAATAACTTTCATGTGAAAACAGTGTTCTTTTAAAAATTTCAAACAAATTATTAAATTATAATATAACATGCTAAGTCTAGGAAAACATGCTAAGTTTAGAAAAACATTTTATTATAAGAGGGCGAATGAAAATAGGTAAAAGAATCAAAGGAACTCCTATGTTTTTATTGTAGATCAGGGATGGATTAAGGTGTGAGGGGATAATGACGTTATGAAATTTTTAAATTCTTTTATATTTTTAATGATAATATATTTGTGTCCTCTAAAATTTTATTCGTTTGCTCCCTTTATAATTTTATTCTCTAACATAAAATTTTGCATCTCTGTCGTAGACTGTATCTTAGTTTTTCCAAAATAATATGTTAAAGTAATTTTTTATATAATCTATATCAAGTAAAACCATACATTTGTTTAAATTTTTATCAATTTATATCATTTAGGTGATAACGGATTTTTTCTTTTGAAAAAAGATATGAGTATTTTTGAACGAAAGCATAAGGTATAATGACAAAATTAACTCTCTATGTTTGCATAAATGGTTATAAATAATTATTTGGATATTTATTTTAATTTTTATCTTTTTAAGAATTTTAACTCTAATATTTTAATTTTTAATTAAAATAATTATTTATAGAAAATATTAATTACCTAATAAACGATGTTTTAAATTGATGTGAAAAGTTTATACCTTTTCTATTTTATATTTAATTTAAATAATTTTATTAAATTATTTCCATTCAAAAAGATGACACACATCACCGTCACCTTATTAAAATCAATATATTAATTTAATTATTCAAACCCGAGTCTCAAGGTCAAGTCTGAATATTTTGCCGTCAACTGACAACTATCTAATTGAATTATTAATTTGATTTAATATTGATAAAACTTATATTTAACTGGAACACTATTTAACTAAAACTTTAATACTTAACGAGTAGCTTGCATATTTTAATGCTGATATAATACATATCATGTTAGGTCATTGCTTAATTAATTAACTGTTAATCTATGTTGTAGTGTTATTTTTTTATGTGTTTAATTGATGATATGACATATATCATGTTATGTCAGTGATTTAATACATGATACGTTAACGACATAGATTGACGATTTGTCAATTAACTATTCTCATCTAGTATGGTTTATTTTGACTAAAAATTAAAATATTAGAAGTAAAATACTTAAAATAATAATAAAATAATTATTTGTTCAAACGTTGAGAATATTTTTAATATTATAGCTTAAAAAATTCATTAGCTAACCATCTTGAAACATGAAAATTCACCAACTCAGATCCATTCCAACAACTTAAACATTCAAAATTAAACCTTTAATTCTTCACTGAGATTTACCAGCAAAGAGGTGATTGAAAAATAAATGAACACAAGTAACATAAACAAACAAAGAGACAAAGTACTATGTAAGAGTTAAAGCTCAGACACAAGAATGTTATTTATTTATTTATTTATTTTATTTATTATTATTATTATTATTTGCAAGGAAGACACTGAGATGAAAAAGAGGGTACGTACAGCTTCACATTATTTAAGTAAATTTTAAGTTTGAGTTTTTATGTACGAAAAAATGTATAACAAATATTAATTTGAATTAGGCATAACGAAATGTTGGAGATTGGGGGAAACCAAAAAAAGTATGTAAGAGCCAAAATCAAGATGATTTTTCTGGGTAAACTGCATGTTTATTGCATCAACTATTATTTCTATTTTGTTTTGATCACTTATTTATTTTTGTATATCATATATAACATTTAGTTTTGGTTTCATTTTGATAATCAACCATTAAAAATTAATAATGATGTTGACATATCATCATAAGATAATATTACATCATCATTGAAGAAAAATAAAAAATACTAATGTCAATAGTTCTATTACTTTTTAAACAATGAGTGATCAAAATGTAACATTAGGTATGATTTTGAAAAAAAATAATTGGGTGACTAAAACATAAAAAATGATAATTAGGGTATTAAACATGTTGTTTACCCTATTTTTTTTTTAAAGAAAATGGATCAACGAAAAAAGAAAACTTCAACTCACCCTTTGAACAACCACATGTTATGTTCATAATACTTTTGATGATTCATCGATTTTGTCTGTTACAAATGGATGTATTAGCAAAAAAACAAGTCAATTGTCAATGGGAGTGCGTTGGTTTAAGATGAGGTGGTCGGCGCACTTTGGCAACCACAGTGGGCCATTAGGTCTTACATGGTTTAAGGAGAATGGCTGGCTCCGTGTAAAGTGCGTGGCGAAGGAGTGGATCAGAGGAGATGACAATAATTTTAGGGGACATCGGTGTAATGAAACTTCAGTTTGCGGTGGATCTGAGCAAAAGAGCTGCACACTGAGTGGAAGTTTGATTTAATGAATATAGATTATTATTTTTTAAATAAAATTAATAAAACATAATTAGGGATTGTCAAAATATCTAAATCTAACGGATTTAGATTATATATATATATATATATATATATATATATATATATATATATATATATATATATTTAAATTTCAAGTTCGAAACAAATAGCTTCAAGACGGAACGAGATTGGGTCTAAAAGAAAAAAAAACCACTGATCCGACCCGATCCATGGCATGCTGCGTGGGGACTTATCTAATGCTATAGCTTAGGTTCCAGTTTAGTTTCATTATGTATTAAATAATATATAATAAAATAATCTAAAACATATTATTTTAATCATTTAAATTATCATAAATGATTATAAATGTATTATAAAAAACATTATTTTAATTATTTTAAATATTAATATATTTAGGTTGGAGTTGAATCGGAATCGGGTTTTTAATCTAAAAATCGAGATAGATTCGAGGTAGAAGAAAGGCTAGAATTCATTGAGGCAGGAAGGGGTCAGATATAAGCAATATATTTTTGGAGTGGAGTCAGGGCGGCAAAAAAATCGACACACTCGCATCGTACTCATCCCTAAATATAACATTACTATGATAATATTGTACTACCTTATTTAGTTTATTTAACATGAATGTAAGATTACAATGTTTGATCGGAGATATTTTTATCAAATTATCATTTTTGACATATGTTCTTTTCAACAAGTTAAAGTTTAATACTCTTTTTGTCCCATAATTTATGCCACATATTGACTTTACATAGTTTTAGGAGATATATTTGACCAATAAAAATAACAAAATTATCCCTAAAAAGTGATTGATAGATTTATTTGAATATGTGTAAAAGAGTGAGATATATAAGGGTAAAAAAAAGAATATAAATGTTGTTGTTTGTTGACATTTCTAATAGGAAATTTTGAAGAATATAATTTAAAAAACCCAAAGAGAGACCTTTAATGGGATGGAGTTAGTATTAAATTACAAATATTTGAATGAAAATTCATAGAAATATTTTAACCGATACAATATCTAACTTTTGAGGTTTAATGCAAAAAGAAGTGTTCAAACTATACCCCAAGTTAACTTTAGGTGTTTAAAGAATTTTTACTAAAAATGTGTTTAATGTTTATGATATTATACTTTTAGGTGCTTGAGTTGTAACGATAATTAATTTTAGTTGTTAGTTGAAACATGTCGTGTTTATATATATTTAAAATTTTTATTTTTATATAAAAATTGAAATATTATTTTTAAAAAATATATTTTTTAAAAATTATCCCCTCTTGCATGCGAAAAAAATTCCTCCCTCCTTGGTTATGCTTAGCACCTCTCTATTGTCCACATAAATCCCCTAAAGTTAATCTAGAGTGAGAATGATAAATTTTAAATTATGGTTAAAGATTTGGGTATTAGGTTTAAAGATTTTAGTTTGGATTTATAGACATGGGGATTGGGATAATGTCAAGAAGAATGGTCGTAGTAAAGGTCTGACGATGGGTGAGTAATAAAGGTAAGAGGTTTAATTTAAACTTGAAAATCAATTCATTAATTATTAAAAAATTTAAATTATTCAAGTTATAATTTATAACTCGACTTAAACTTAAAATTAATCTATTAATTACTAAAAAAATTGAGTTATTGAATTTCTATTTTGTAATTCGACTCAAATTTATTTTTTTAAAATTAAATTGTGTTCATAAAATTATAAGTCAGGTCAAAACTTTAATGTATAATGAATAAAAATACTTCATTTTTTCTTCGAATCAATTTTTGCTCCTTTCTAACCCTTCTAACATGTACCGGCTGGCCTAGTGGTCCCATACGTCTCTTTCGAATGCTAACACTTGTAATTCCAAGCTACGTTGTCTAAGCAACAGGGCTCCAGCGTGACCATGGTTGTACTTGTATGCCTCACCGAACCAGCGGCTCCGTCCTTAAAGCACCTCCCTCACCACTGTCATTGTTCCATTCCTCTTTCCTTTTCACTTTTCAGTCCAATCTACGAAACCATGAGCCACCAACAACCACGAAGGCCTCAGTCTGACCAGTCCCGTGATCAAGAAGGGCCCATCAAGTATGGTGACATTTTTAACGTCACCGGTGAACTTGCTTCCAAATCCATCGCATCGTTAAATGCCTCCGCAATGCAGTCGGCTGAGACCACCGTCCTCGGACAGACACAGAGAAGTGGTCCCTCGGCTGTCATGCATGCAAGTTGCAGCCAACGTCTAAGAAAGAGCAGGCGTCGTTCGCCACGATCAAACCGATGTTACCGGAGATGAAGGCGTCACCCTAACTAAATCAGTCACCGCGGGTGGCGAATCCTGGATCACTGAAGCCGTCGAGGGACATGTAAAAAAACATTATAAAGATAGATAATTTTATTATTAGCTCTTTGCTCTGATTATTAGCGTTGTTTTAATGAGAAAGTTTGTTGGGCAATACATTCAACCCAAAGTTCCTAGGGACACTACATCGTTCAATAACGACCCTATAACGGTGGGAGAAGCTTTAAAGGCGGCGGCATTATCTGCCGTCGATAAACCAATAGAGCAGAGCGATGTGGCCGCAATTCAAGCGGCTGAAAGAAGAGCTACTGGCTGTAATGAGACATTGTTCGGAGGTGTGGCCGCATAAGCTCAGTCGGCGACCATTCGAAATTCCCAACTATGCGGTCCAAAGATAAAGCTACCCTCTCCGACGTTTTCGTTAGAAATATGGATTGCAAAACCGCATCGTTAGCATTGACAAGAAATATAAACAGTAATTAAAATGAACATATTCGTAAACCGTGTCGTTGTAAAACCACTACCTTAGAAACGAATTCGTCTCGATGTGTGTAATCGCTGCAGTAGGCAGACCGTCCCCCGAGGTTAACACGTTCGCTCCGAATTTCGTACACCCGAAACCGAAGTGGACTACTGGTGGTATTGCTCTTCTTATCGAAAAACACACAAAGAGAATATTTAGAAAATACTTGGAGAATGAATTCTGAAATGTTGAGAGTGAGTTAAGAAGCTAAATTCAGCTCTTATTTATAGGCTGGAAATAGGGTTAAAATTGTCTATAAAGAAAATCAGTATTAAAATTATTCTTTGTAACAGCTGAAACATCTAGATGAACTTTACTCAGAAATAGTCCAGGTTTATTGCACCATTATTCAACTGTTATAACTCCTGAAATTATATCATGTAACTCCTTATATTAAATCATATAACTATTGTAACTCCTGATATTAACAGTTTGTCTCCTCTCTAAAAAGATGGAAATCAGTTAGATACATCTTAACATTTTTTATTTAACTTAGGGAAAAAACTGTTTAATTTTTGATAACTCATAAATCAGTTGTTATCATTTGAATTTAAACAGTCCTCAACAGTCTATAAATATCAGTTGAAATCTTTCACATTTTTCCATTTGTTTCTTTCAAAGAGAAATTCCTCAAGAATTTTCTCTAAAAAGATAGTATCTGCGCAGACGTGTCAAAGACACGTATTACCACGACCACGATCACGACCTCAACCTAGACCACGAGTCGAGACAGACGGCGGCGGCGACAGTGTGCGAGAGTCCCCTTTGTTCTCTTTCACTCAATAAGGAAGTGGGAAATCCAAACCATAAATACCCATTCCCAATAGTGTTTCCAATACTATGTGGGATTGAGCATTACCAACATCCCCCCACTAATGCGAAAGAATTCTTCTGAAACTCGAAAATAAACTTTCCAGAAGAGCAATAGTGAGATTAGTTGCTTAAGCACTAGTGAACGTATCTGGAACTAGTACATAGTGATGATGAGCAATCCTTCTCTTAGATAAGTGAAACTAGTATGGAACTTTCTAAGATGGGGGTAAACTCATAACACACAACTAACCCCTTCATTCACTTGAGTCCTCGATGTGTAAGATATATATATATATATATATATATACAAAAGTATATAATTGGCCATCTTACCTCAGGATTCTAGTAAGTGTGCTAGAAAAATGGTCCAACATTTTTCATAGAAGATAGTTAACCCTTCTCACTTACATAGGTTATTTCATCAAGTTTATCTCGACATAAACCACCCTTAAAAAGTGATATGAAATAATTAACAGCTTTTATAATAACTCAACCTCACAAAGGGTATGGTGACTTTCTTCAAGTTCATTATTAATGAACCACCCAAACTCTGGGCTAAGAAGTCATTAAGAATAAATAGTCAACCTCATTTATCGGTAAATTCAATAAGTCATTCTCATTAGAACCATCCAAATACTTGGATTTAAATTTATTAAGAGTTTAACAAACTCAACCTTTCTGTCGGTAAGTTCATTATTTCCTTCTTATTTAGGAATACCCACTCACTCTGGGTTATGAACTTATTAAGAATAGATATTCAGCCAAAATCGGTAAATTCATCAAGTCTTTCTCACTAAGACCACCCAAAGTCTGGGCTATGAATTTATTAAGAGCACTTAAGTTCATATTGGGCATGCACATTATTCATCATAGGGATAGGCAGTCAGAATGTGCACTATGAGTCTTTCCATGGTTTCATTTGACCAGATGTAACTTAGATAACTAAGTTGGGTATCCACCATGAATTCCTCAACCAATGGGCTTTAGACCCATCCCCCTCGACGAATCTAGGACCAGCTTCCGACTTAACCCTTTGGTAAGTGGATCTGCTATGTTCCTTTCCGACTTCACATACTCTAAAGAGAGCACTCTATTCTTTATTAAGTGTCTAACTGATTCATGTCTTATGCGAATGTGTCTTTTCTTACCATTGTAAGATTGGTTCTTAGCCACACATATTGCAGCTTGTGAATCACACAACAATGAAACTAGAGGAGTCGGTCTTCCCCACAACGGAATATCTGCTAACAAGCTTCTGAGCCACTCGGCTTCTTGCCCAGCTAGGTCAAGAGCTATAAACTCTGACTCCATGGTAGAACGATCAATACATGTCTGCTTTGATGATTTCCACGAGATTGCTGCTCCACCCAAAGTAAGAACATACTCGCTCATAGAGCTTACCTCATCATTATCAGAAACCCAATTGGCATCACAATATCCTTCTAGTACTGCAGGAAAACCAACAAACTCAAGTTTCCAATCCAAAGTACCCTTAAGATACTTCAGTAAGCGTTTAAGAGCAATCCAGTGTTCACCACTCAGATTATGAGTATATCTACTCAGTCTACTCACAACATAAGCAATATCAGGCCGAGTATAGTTCATTAAGAACATTAAGCTTCCAATTAATTTTGCATATTCCATTTGGGAAACGCTACTTCCTTTATTCTTAACTAGATGTATGTTAGGGTCATAAGGAGTTCGAACAGGGACGAAAACTATCAAATTTCTTTAGCACTTTCTCTATATAATGTGCTTGACTTAAAGAAAATCCCTTTTCAGTTTTGGTAACTTTGACTCCTAAGATTACATCTACTTCTCCTAAATTTGTCATCTCAAACTTAGTGGACAAGAAATTTTTAACTTTGTTAATGGACTCAATGTTAGAACTGAAAATCAAAATGTCATCAACATACAAACTTATGATGACACATTCAGTGCCAAAAATCTTTGAATACAAACAAACATCCGAACCATTCACAACAAAACCAAAACTAAGAATAGTTTTATAGAATTTCTCATACCACTGTTTAGGAGCATGTTTAAGTCCATAAAGTGACTTTTTAAGTCTATAGACTTTCTCTTCCATACCAGGTACTTCAAAACCTAGTGGCTGCTCCATGTAAATCTCCTCATCTAGATCCCCATTGAAGAAAGTAGTTTTAACATCCTTTTGATGTACCTGCAACTTATGAATAGAGGCTAGCACAAATAATGCACGAATCGTTGAGATTTTCGTAACGGGGGAGTATGTATCAAAGTAGTCTAAACCAAACCTTTGAGTGAACCCTTTGACGACTAACCTTGCCTTGTACCGCTAAATCGAACCATCTGGCCTCAAATTCTTCCGGAAGATCCATTTGTTGCAGATTGGTTTGAATCCCTTAGGCAAGTCAACTAATTCCCAAGTATGATTAGACATTATCGATTATAGTTCATCATTAATAGTGCTTTTCCAGAAACTAGCATCGATATATCTTATAGCTTCTTCAAAAGTTTTAGGATCCTCATCTAACAGAAAAATTTGAGCTATAGGATCTGAAATGGAGTCTAAATCATTTATCTCAGAAATAAAGGAAGTAATAAAGTTTGGTCCAAAAGAGGTTTCAACTCTTTGCCTTTTACTTCTTATAGGCTCAAAATCATTTTCTTGAGAAGACCTAGCAGGAATACTAGAAGAAGTGGATGGAATATATTCTATTTATGTTTCGACATTTAATCTCAGTTCCTTTAAAGGAAAAATATTTTCAAAGAAAACAACATCTCTTGACTCACAAATAGAATAATCTTGTAAAAGCATGAATCTGTATGCATCACTATTTGTAGCATACCCTATAAACACTGCATCAATGATTTTAGGTCCAATGGTGGACTTTTTAAAGTCTGGCAAACCCACTTTAGCCAGACACCCCCACACTTTCAGGTATTGTAAATTAGGAGCGTATCCTTTCCACAATTCATATGGGGTAGAATCTAATTTCTTATGAGGAACTCGGTTCAAGATATGAGTTGCCGATAGAATGGCTTTCCCCTACATGTTATCAGATAACCCTGAACTTATTAGTAAAGAATTCATCATCTCTTTTAAAGTTCTATTTTTCCTTTCGATTATAATATTATGTTGAGGAAAATAGGGGGCTGAAGTTTCATGAATTATGCCATTCTTTTCACAAATATATTTTAAGAAATTAGATCCATATTCACCACCTCTATCAGATCTAACCTGTTTAATTCTCCTATCTAACTGATTTTCAACTTCTGCCTTATAAATAAGAAAGAAGTTTTCAGCTTCATCTTTAGTCCTTAGGAGATAAACTTTAGTATATCTTGAATAATCATCTACAAAAGTTATGTAGTAGTATTTTCCTCCTTTACTTTCAGTGTTTCTAAAATCTGTTAGATCAATATGAATGAGTTCTAACAGCTCAGTCTTTCTATAAGAAACAATCTTAAAGTGAGGTCTAGTATGCTTAGCTTCTACACAAATTTCACATTTGTTAAAGCTAGTTGTGTCTAGTTTAGGTAGAACATTCATATTTATCAATTTCTTTAAAGCATGAATATTCACGTGTCCTAATCTAGCATGGCACATATCAATGGATTCAACAATATAAGCAGAAGTGGTAGCTTTATTTTCATTAAATTGAGTTTCTATGATAAATAAACCATTGCTTAAAAACCCTTTCCCAACATAATCACCATTTCGGGAAAGTACAAGTTTATCTGCCACAAAAACTAACTTAATGTCTGCCTTATTCAGAAGCCCACCATTTATCAAATTTCTACGCAAGGCAGGTATATATATAACATTATTTAAAGCCAGAGTTTTACCAAAGGCCAGCTTGAGTAAAACATTGCCTTTGCCTATCACTTCAGAGCTACTAGAGTTCCCCATGTACACACGTTCACCTACGTTCCCATCCTCGAATTCGGTGACAAACTCCTTCCTTGCGCAGAAATGCTTTGAAGCGCCAGTGTCAATAACCCATTCCAAACTGTTTTCCACCAGATTAACTTCTGAGACCACCGTAGCAATGATTTCATCATCTTCTTCTACAACGTGCATCTGTGGCTTGTTTTCATTCTGGCGGTCTGAGCGGTATTGGCATTGGTAAGCTTTGTGGTTGGGTAAACCGCAGACATAACACTTGAGCGTCTTTCCTTCAGGTTTGGCCTTTCCTGACTTCTTGAAGTTGGTAGCCTTTTGGGGTTTTGTTTTATTGTCTTGATTCACACGTTTCATGATCTTCTTGAATTTAGACTCAACCAAGTTAGCTCTAAAAGATAAATTACTCATACAATTAGTAAGCTTATCTTTTAAACGATTGGCTTCTTCAATCTTCATATGGCCCACGAGCTCTTCAAGCGAAATTTATCTCTTCTTATGGTTAAGAGAGTTGTGGTAGTCAGGCCAGGACTTGGGCAACTTATCAATGATAACATTTGCTTGCAGTACCTCACACATTTGCATCCCTTCGGTGATGATGTCAGCAACTAAGTTCTCATAGTCATGAACTTGATCCATTATCGGTTTGTCGTCTGTCATCTGGAATTTGAGCCATTCACCGACATCGTACTTCTTGATGCCTGCATCGTTCGCACCATACTTTTTCTCGAGAGTGTCCCATATTGCCTTGGCACTCCTTTATCTAAGAAACATATCAAATAGTTTATTTGACATGTGGCTGAGTAGATGTCCTCGCACCGTTTTGTTGTCTTTCTCATATTTCTCGTACGTAGCGAGAACGGCGGCGGCAGTTACTAAGGCATCATCATTCAGAACCGTATCCGCATCATTATCGGTAGCTGGGGTTGGCGACATGGTAGGTGGTGGCTTGAGCAACACGTAGTCAAGATCAAGTTGCTCGAAGAATATCAGGATTCTTTGAGACCACCTTCTATAATTCTTCCCATCAAGTGCATCGAGCTTGGAAAGATCGGGAATTAGTTTGCTCAAAGGTGTTGACATGATTGTAGTATATAGAATTTGTTTCTAAATTGTTGGAAATATGGACTGCAAAACCACACCGTTAGCATTGACAGAAAATATAAACAGTAATTTAAAAGGAATAGATTCGTAAACCGTGTCGTGGTAAAACCACTGCCTTAGAAATGAATTCGCCCCGATGTGTGTAATCGCTACAGTAGGCGGACCGTCCGCTGAGGTTAACACGGTCGCTTCGAATTCCGTACACCCGAAACCGGAGTGGACTGCTGGTGGTATTGCTATTCTTATCGGAAAGCACACAGAGAGAATATTTAGAAAACACTTGGAGAGTGAATTCTGAAATGTTGAGAGTGAGTTGAGAAGCTGAATTCAGATCTCTATTTATAGGCTAGAAATAGGGTTAAAATCGTCCATAAAGAAAACCAGGATTAAAATCATTCTTTGTAACAGCTGAAACGTCTAGATGAACCAGACCACGACCACGACCCGGACGGCGGCGGCAACGGCGATTCGCGAGAGTCCCCCTTGTTCTCTTTCACTCAACAAGAAAGTGAGAAATCCAAACAATAAATACGCATTCCCAATAGTGTTTCCAATACTATGCGGATTGAACATTACCAACAGTTTTATCTGTAATAATCTTACCACACCGCCCGAAAAAAAAATAATAGTGTAAAACTCAAAATAGTTGGAATTGGAAATATTATTACAGTTTTGTTTTCGTTGAAGGATGCAACTAAGATGTTGCCTAGGGACAAGGCAGTGAGTCGTGAAGGTGCCGATAGGGTGGTGGCTGCAGAGCTGAGAAATAATCGGAATATGAGGACGACGCCCGGTGGAGTGGCTGCTTCCATGGCTGCAGCAGCTAGGTTTAATGAAAATCCCACGATTTAAATATATGTTTTGCATATAATAGATTATGGCGTGTGTTGGTTTCTTTGTTTATTTGAAGGTGAATTTTATAACCTTACGTTGTGTTCCCTAGGAACATTATTAGAATTACCCTCTTATGATATTAATATCCTTTGAAACTACAGTTATTATATAATCACGTGCTATATAATTACTACAGTTATTATATAATTACGAGCTATATAACATAACGATATCGTTTGAAATTGTTATTATATATAATATAGCATTCGTAAAATTCCCTTATAGTCTGATTGAAACGGTTCTTCCAAAACTATCTATTTTTATACTTGCAATTATTAAAGAAGCTCTACTTTTTATCCCGAGGTTTGACATTAACACAATCAAATTCGAAATTTACATCTAAACAAAATATTTTATACCTTAAGTATTGCTTATCGCCTCATTTTCAAATCTAAATGATCCGAATTAATTTTATAGAAACACTTTTGAAAGGTTTATAAAAATGCAATTAATTTGGATTAAATACCCAAAATAATCGTCAAACCAACAAGAGTTCCCTTATTGCTTACGTTAGGGTTTGGTCCTATGCATGACTGATCCCAAGTCTCCGGTCATGAGGTGGTGTGATAGGTCCAACTGAGCAAGGGGAAGAAAATAAGTCTGATAGATAGAGTGCTGCAAAAAACATATGCAACGATGGTCGATGGAGATGTAGGATCTTTGGCAGCCGCAAGGAAGTTTCAATTAATCGATTTAGATAATGATTATTACTTGGTTAGATTTGAGGTTGATAGTGACTACATTTCAGTTTTAATGGAAGGTCCTTGGATGATCTTCCGGAGTTATTAAACGGTGCAGTCTTGGAGTAGGAAGTTTTCCACCTTTGAGAGTCGTCCTTCCCTAAGTTATAACGTGGATTCGATTTTCGGGACTTGTTTATCGTAATTATAGGAAATCTCTTCTTTGTATAATTGCTTCCGAAATTGACAATATCATTAATGTGGATTACAACACAGAGGTTGGAGGAAGAGGAAATTTTGCTAGGATGGTCGTGGTTGTCAATCTTAATAAGTCGTTATTACCATGTATCGGCATTGATAGATTTATTCGAACCTCCAACAAATCTGTTTTAAATGCGGGGTTTACGGTCATGGTCAGGATTTGTGTGTGACGTTTACCGATAAAGATGGTCTGAATGAAAAGTAGATGGTTCTGGTTCAGACCGGTAGAAGATATCTATGGGCCTTGGATGGTTGCATCTAACCGACGATGTCATCCTTGGAAGGTACCTGTGGAAGTACTTGTAATACCCTAATTTTGCCGTCAGCAGCACTACAGCAAGTCAACAGCCTGTATAGGTTGTATCAGTTACAAGCTGAGAGTATGTCCTTTCCCATTCGTACAAACTGTTACACCAAGCTGTATTGGCAGAATTAAATGACGAATAAATGAGGAGTAATACATCAGCAATACAAAACGGCAAAAAAAGAAGAGGATTAGCCATTAACAAAAAGAGGAGGCAAGCAACAAAGACGGGACATTCTTTTTCTAGCATTCGAATACAAGCAAGAAAAGTCCCCAGGAGTCTCACCGTTGCATTAAAAAAGAACGAGGAAGCAATAGAAAGTAAAGACCTATTTTGTGGTATTTTCTTTCTTTCTTTTCAATTTCCAGTATGTTATGGGTGTTCTTATTTCTAAACAAATAAACGATGTGAGAAAAGAATGAGTTTAATCTCGTTACCGTTTCTTTTGTTGATCATGTCGTTGTCGGAGTGTAGGTCTCCGTTCATTAGGGAATTCCTTACTGAAAAAACATATAAAAAATTAATTTTTCGAAACTAGAGGAAGGAGAGGGTTTTCAATTCAAATAAAAAAGCAAGAGCTTTTAAAAGAGTAGCTTAGTATAAATCTCGAGGAGCAATACAAAGCAAAAAGAAAAGGGGGTCTCCTTTTCGAAGGAATCATTCTTCTTTATATTAAATCTCAAGAAAATTAGTGGGTTTAAGATTGGGTTACCTGGCTCGGGGATGTTCTGACGCCGAAGAGAGCCTTCGATCTTCGTTCTTCGTGTGTTGGGTCTTTATCGGAGAACCCAAAAGAGGGCCCTGGTCGTTGGTGGCCGTGCTCTCCATTTTCTCTTCAAAGAAATTGAAAAATGAAAGCTCGGTGGTTTAGAGAGGATGCGGCTGAGTTGCTTGGTTTGAAACTAAAGTAGGATATATATTAAAACTTTAGGGTTAATTAGTGTTTAGCCATCGTATCTTTAGGGTAGAATTAGGTTTTAATCCTCCTAGGTTTACCGCGGATTTGCACTTTAGTCACTGCAGGGCTGCTTTCGAATTTACTTTTTTGTTGTTTGTCCTGATTTTGATGTTTTCCCAAATTTATGTTGTAATTATAATTTTCGGGTTATTTAGGTTTAAGTCCTTCATAGTTATGTTTTTTATTTATTTTAATCCTTGTTTTAGTTTTTGATTTATATATCTAATTTTCATTTTATTTTAATTTAGTCCTTAGATGAATTTGCGAATAATTTGAATATAACCCCTGATTATTTTGTTATTCTGATTTAGTTTCCTTTTTAAGATCTATTTAGCCAAACTTTAAAAATCACTTTTTTTTATTATAGTGTACATACATCAACAGAGCATTACTTACATGTCACAATGCATGTGTTTATTGCACATGTCACTTTATATTATATATTATGTATATATTTTCGATAACTTATGCATATTATTTAATATAAAAAACCATCGTGTTATAAAGAACGTGTGTGCATATGCTTTGAAAGTAGTCATTAACATATGCTTTGAAAGTAGTCATTTAATGCTTTAATATATATATAAATACTCATATTTTACAAAGACTTGATTGCTTGCATCTAGACGTGGCCATGATATTTTATTGGTATGATACCATGTGTATAACTCGACTTATAATTATATAATTGGATAAAAGGTAATACTCTTTTAATTTAATATTGTTTTGAGGGGCTTGTCTTAACTCATTAGAGAGACGCTCTCGACGATTTTAAATTAAAAATATATCCCATTAGTGACACCTAAAAATTGATTCTTCACTTAAATTTTGGGAATGAAAGAAAAAGAAATGTTCGACTATTTAAATTTGTCGAGAAAAAGTTGTTAGAACTCATCTAAGATCTAGTCTCGATATTTTTAAATAATCGAATATTCTTTATCTTTCTAAAAGGCTTGATAATTTTAATTTAATCTATTTTAGTGTTTTTGAAAATTATAAAATTCACATTTTTTTTGTTGTTATACGGGATCATAAACCAAATTAAAGTCGAATTTGTAAATTTCATTACAAAGACGTTAATTAACCGACTATATGTCGATTTAGGGCGTTCTGAGAGTGCTAATCCTTCCTCTTACGTAACCGACTCCCAAACTCATTTTCTGATAACACAGACTTCAATTTGTTGTTTAATTAAAATTATTTTTTTATTTAAAATGACAAACATTTTTAGGTACCCAATCACCCTAATCAAGGATTGGTGACGACTCCTCGAACCGTATTTTTTTTATCGTAAAGGAAATCCCAAAATTTTCAAAACAAGCAGTTTTTTAAAATCACATTCACTTTTAATTAAAATTTAATCATAAAGGGATAATTAAAATATGTATGATTTTTAAAATCTTATTTTTTTAAAAAACAAATCGTTTCGACAATACTACAGTCAAAGGAAGGGTGGCAATCGAGTCCACTTCCAAATTTGATGTGATATAGATTGCGGACGGGGAGGAGGATTCTAACTTGGTCAATGTGGAGGTAGGGAGTCCACTTCCAGATTTGATGTGCTAAAGATTGCGGACAGGGAGGAGGATTCTAACTTGGTCAATGTGGAGATAGGGGTTGTTCATAATATTTCTGATGCGAAGGGAGCAGTGATGACGGACAGAAGGAATGAGGGTAAGGTTGATAAGTCCGGTAAATCCAGTAACGAAACAACGAATTTGCCTAGTGCTGCACAAGGAACTAAATTGAAGAATAAAGAAGTGATGGTTGAAGGTAATTATCGGGTTGACCGATAGTTCCCGATCAGGATGCTGAAGCTCAAATCCAAAAATCGAATCTGCTGTCAGGGACACACCGGCGGTTAGAATAGTGAAGGGCAAACAAGGTGTGCGTGCTTCACTTCGGGGGAGATCCAAAACTGGTAAGAACAAGAATATTACAAAAGAAGTGAATCTGAAGAGGTTAAAGGTCAAGAAGCAACTAAATGTAAGCGCCGAGTGGACCTTTATTAGCCGAATGGGTTAAATTGGCAGCTATAAGCTTGGACCAGGCTGCATCTATGTCTTCTGCACGGTTTGACTTGGAAGGTGATGGGGTTGGTGTGGTTGCTGCTCGGCAGACAACTACCGGGGTTCCTGTTAATTGATGTTGACGATGACAGTATGGATAGGGTAGGCCAGGTCGATGGGTAGAAGGTGACCACGGATTCCTGTTAATATCAAATATGCAGCTAGAAAAAATACAATATTTTACATTATTATATTAATGTGCACGGGACAATCACAAAGAAAAAGACTTCGTGGATCTCAATGATGAAATCTTGCATTTAACCAAGTGCATGGGGCAGTCACAAAATATACAAAAACCTCAATGGCGTTAAGCTACTCTAGACAATACTTTTGGCCTATACTGTACTCTGTACATAGCAACAAGAATTACCGAATGCATCCCTAAAGCTAGCCTGCTTGCCATGTGAATGGCATCCATCATCCAGGCTCTAGTTGTTTATTCTTCCATAATTTGTACCATAAAAAATTCTATACTGAGCATACAGAAATCTAGTACCTTGATTAGTAGTTGCCATTCAAAAAGGACACTTGAACTCGACCGCATATAACGAAAACGAGACCGGTTAAAGAAATTATCACCTCGGATTAACGTGTGATTCACTCCTACGGTAGAAACATGGTGAAGAGCCACTTCAGAATTTAGAATGTGTTAAGATCCAGAATCACATCCAACTTCAGGGATTTGGTATATTCAACAGAGCCATATTAGCAACTATATTACCTTTCAGATATATCAGATTGTGTTGCAGTTGATGTTTCTCTGATCAGGAATGATGGTAATGGCAACCTCAGAATCTGCTGAGACAACCTCTGTGGACATGCACATGCACTGCAGCAAGATTTCCTTTTTGGAAGTATCATTGCAATCAGTATGAGAATTTTCATCAATTGGAACTGAGACTTCTCTGGAAGCATTCATCTCATCTCCATGTCGGGAAGGACTACTTTGACTGACATTGGATGCAACATCATAATGGCCATTTGCAGCATGTCGCACACTTTGTGGAGATGATGGAGAAGTTTGGTTGGTTGCATCTTTGGCAATAGGATGGCAAGTTTTTGCTTCTTCAGACTCGAGGCCTGTCTTACCAAAACCAGAAATACATTCTACCATCTGTAATTTCGAATGCTTATTCTTCTCCATGCCATCTGCATCCTCAGAAATCTGAATTGTGCCATCGAAACCATATGTGACAACTTCCTCATCAAAATCCCTTGACACATGAACAACTGCCACTTCATTGTCAGCATGGACAATATTATCAGTGTTTGACAGAACTCTCATGCTTAGAATCAAGGCTCTGTTTAACAATGCTTTCATCAGTTTTCCCCTCTGAACATATGCTTTTTGAGTCAAATTCCAGCTTCCTGTCTTCAGGTACTGGAATGCAAGATGAAGAAACAGTAGCAGCCTCTGGAAGATTGATGGTATCAGCCATTATATCAGAAGTATGTTTCAAGGTGTCATCAGGAAGTGGCATTGTAGATTCAACAGCAGAGGGTTCATCATTTCTATTATCTGTTTCAGGTGCAAGACTCTCGGCAGAAACATTCAAATCGAATGAAACCAAACACCTCTCCAGATTTATAGGACACCTCACCAGTCATCTGCTCCTCCGTAACATGTGTCCGCAGAGGTTTCTGTAACATATCTACACCAGGAAAGACCAGCATATTCATGTTCCTCATCTTCGGCTTGCATGCAGTTTCTAGTGGTTCGAAACTAAAGACAGAAGTCCATGTTTCCCTCAGTTCCGGGACTGCAGGTATGACTAATTTCTCAACATTCAGGGAGCTGAGGGCCTGAAAAATCAGGGGAAAAGAAAAAGAAACATAAAAAATGAGGTTCAGGTGAAATAAATTAATTAAAATCAAAATAGCCTAATTTATATCACAGTAGCTGTATTACTCTTTTCAGGCATACCTATAGATATTTGAATAAAATACCAGTCTCCTATGAATTTTCCTGTATCAATAGGCTGAAGGAAAAGTAATTTGACATCCGGCCATAATGTTTACTCTTGGAAAATATAATCTAACTATTACGTAACCCCCACCCTACCAAAAAAAAAATATGTAAATGTCAAAATGAGAAAAAAATGTAATTAATACAAATTGAAAATATAGAAAGAAGCAAAGAGAACATTGAGTCAGACATACAGATTCAATTGCGCAAAGAAGACAGCGACACTTCCCTTGACGCCTATAATTGTAATCATTAGGATTAAACCAAACAAGTACAACAGTTAGGAGACTGAGCAGGTTCATTAGTTTATACTCAACAAATATACTATAATCCATATTACTAAGCAACAGGTAGCATTTGGAAACTTGAATTTTAGAATTGGATTTAGATTTGGGTTTAAATGATAGTGCAAATTGAGTAATAAATAGTTAGAAACGTAGCATTCATTATTTTGTCTCAAATCCATGGATTTGTTAGATGCCTATATAGTAGTGAGTTTGAAATGCCTAATATAATTTTGGATTTTATAGATCCATGTTTTTATACTTTTTCAAATATACTATATTCAATCTATTCTTCATAATGTATGCATTTCATTCTTGCTATTGACATAGCAAATGAAATCCAAATTTTCAAATTCATGTTTCCAAACAGAGCACAAGGTATTCATGAATATGTAAAAAAACAAAGTTTTTTAAATCGTCAGTCTCAGTATATTCGCATATTAGCGGGCTATAGTTGCTACATGGATGGGGAGATAACAAAATAGCTTAAAATGAAAATGTCTAGAAGCTATCAGCAGAGGAACAAAAGGAAGGTGATCAAGAGTGATTAAAGGGATGAGTCGGAATGGCCCGATGGATATCTTATATTATCATTCTTCAAATGTAAAGACATTATTTCCACATATTCTATTCTATAATTCCCAATGAAATAAAAACGAAAGAATTACCGGATGGATGCTGCAGCGATAACCCCATCCCCCTCTCTAGAATAGCAGTGTAAAAACCACTGTAGTTTAGCCTAGTGAAATTTGACCTGAGAACAAAAGGAGATTAATAATTTACCTGAAACGAGAATTTCTTGGTCTTATTCAATAACAAAAGCGCGGCAAATATACTTGTGCAGATAAATCAAATATCACTTCACCATAAATAACGGCATTATGTTGCCTCCCAGATATTCACATAGAAAGAATAGTACCACTCGACCACAAAAAGAATGACCCAGGGCAATCTGTTAAAATGGAAGCCTTTAAACATTTCATACTGCTATAGTAACTACTATAATGTATAAATGCCACATCGATCCATCACTTTATATGTTGTCTGTTTTGATTGTTTTTATCTACACATTTAGAGCCATTTGCCATCATTCTATTTAATGTCTCCTACATTCTTCTTTAAACTTCTAAGCAGTAAGGTAACAGTTATTCAACAAAATGTGGTTCCTCAGAGTATTGAACTTTAAATTCCAGCTATTGAAGAAAGGCAGTTCTCATATCTTCGTTGCAAAACCCAAAAAGATAAAAGAATAAATGACGACGTGTGTACAGCACCAAGCAACAAGATCAAATCATACTTTTCACATCATAGTTAGAAGGTGTGAACACCAATTTTCGACCTCTTGCCCACGGCTTATACAACCGCTCAGTCAACAAACCCGATCTTCACGCCGTCCGTTTCTCACCATCAACAACGTGAGTCAAAGGGACTCATTCACAACCAACCAAGCAGTGATTTAGTCCAAATAAAACTCTAAAAGTCGAGGCTAAAAATAGTGTTTTTCCTCATTATAAATACATGTAATCGAACCCATTCGAGGGGATACACGATCTACACACAAGAATAATCGACGAAAAAGACGAGAGAAAAATCAGAAACATTTAGGGGGTCTCGAACAAAGTGAAAAATAACCAGAGAGGGGAGATACCCATTTCCCGACGAAGCTTCTTCGACCTTTCTCATGTCGTTCTGAGCTTCTTTGGTGCAAAAACGATGGTAGAGATGTGCCGCGGTGGAGATGTGCCGCAGTGAAGAAAGCAAAAGAGGAGGAGAAAGCACAATTTAAATCCAGAATTCACGCGTGAAACAAGGATTTGTTTAGTTTCATAGATTTTGTTGGTTTAATTAAGATACTAGTCATATAGAGTTCTACATTTGTAGATATGGAGATATAATTTTATTTCTTTCAATTTGGTTACTAGTTGCATTTGTTTTTACTTTGGACTCTCTATTTTACTTTTATTTTAATTTAGTCATTTCTGTTTTATTTATTTTTTTTCCTTTCACGGTTTAAGTTTAAATATTTTATTTTATTTTATTTTTAGTTTATTCTTATTTTTAATTTTTTTAACTAACCCTTTTACTTTTTTTACTTTATTCAATTTATTTTCTTTATTTTATTATTATTCTTTTGTTTATTTTCTTTTTTACTAACTTTTAATTATCTTTGTTACTTATTTTATCTTAGAATTTTTTCCCTCGTATTTATTTTTATTTTATCATCTAACATTTTTTTGGCATTTTCAGTAGTAATTTCAACCAATTAAAGGTGAGTAACTCGAATTGGGATTTTTAAATTTCAATTTAAATCTTTAATTTTCGCAATTAAAGACAACCGACGAATTAATTGGTACCGAAAGGACGGTTCAAGGGTGCTAATCATTCCTTGACCGTAATCGACTCCCGAACTCGACATGTTTCTAGTACAACGCAGATCAGGTAAGACGGTGTCCGACCCACCTAAATTTGTTTTAAAATGGTCGGTGGCGACTCCAATACATTTTCCTAAGTCGAAGTCCCAATTTCAGGCCCAACCGAAAGACAGTTCCGACAGCTTGGCGACTCCTCTGGGGATAGATAAGTGAGTCAGGCCGAAATTAATTTCTGATTGTCTTTTCATGCGAAAATGGTAAGTTTAAATTTTAATTTATTTATTCTATTCCAATTATTTACCTTTGATTATTTTTCAAATAAATAGTTGTACTGAAGTTTTTTCAATGATTTCAGATTTTTGAAAATTTCATCTCAAGCTCTATACCCGAGCTCCAAACCCTTTTTAAGTGGGGGTGAAAATGACACCTTCGTGAGAATTTATTCTCCGTGCGGGCCTAGCAAGTAACCTTCGGGATGTATATTCCTTATGTCTTCGTGTGAATTTATTCACCGTGCGGGCATATGAGAATGTTTCCTCTCGAGTTTAACTTAGTCCACATAAGCTTGTAATGGGCTTAGGACTAAGGGCCTGACAAGCCCAAGGGGGCACCAGCAAGGAGAACTCGGGTACCTTTTTAGAACCTATGTCGGGAGTACAGGAATTAGAGCCCACCCCAAAACCTCATTCCAAACCCTAGGTTGTTTTGTTTCCTGCTTTACTTTATGTTCAAAGCATGCAAACTAGACAAATATGCGGTTAGGATTTGTTTGAAATTAGCATGTGGGATAAAGATCATGTCCGAGTAAGAATTAAAGCATGTGGGGTAGATATCATGTGGGATAGGGTTTTTCATTTTTATTATTGTTTTGATTTACCTCACTAACTCTTTTAATTTTTTTGTTCTCTTTTCATTTTGTTCTCATAATTCACATTATTTAAAAGAGGTGTTGATCCACCAAAAACGTGTTTGTTAAACATGAATAATTTGTATTAATGGACAAAGGGGTTGTAATACAAGAGATGAAAATATAGAGGACATTCTACAAGGCGACTATGTGTCATATTCAATCCAGAAGACGTGGTGCCCACAATTGAAGAGTATATCACTCTGTTGCATTATAAAGAACTTAGAATGAACCGGGTCTACATCAAGCAATGAAGGTCTATCTTTGAAGAACTGATTGGCAGAGGTTGCAGGGGCAAGATGAATGTTACTGATCTTGGGAGTCACTTCAAAGACAACAATGGCAAAACGATAGTTGAAATTGGAGACCATTGCTGAAGAATTCAAGAAACAGACAAATGAACTTCACATAGTTCCTATTAATTAAGGGCTCCAATGACGTATTCGTTGGGAACATGTTCAAAAAAAGATAAATGCCAGAGATGCAGTCATTCGAGACTTCTTGGGCCAGTACAAAAAGCAACTCAACATTTGCACGGTTCATCCAGAGAAGCCAGAGCGGTTCGACAGGTTATTCAACCGGTGAGAGACGAATATAGAAGACTAGTCAACATGTCAAAAGCTGTCAGGATATTTTTGTCTCTTAAAAGATAAAACATTTTTGTCCCCAATAAGGATTATTCATAATAACAGGCGTATTTTTTGGATCAATGCCTCGAACATTTCATGCATCATGCATTCTTGCATATTTCACATTTTTTTAATTTTCATTCACATTAACTAACAAGAGTTGGACACACCCCATCCGCATAACACCTGCCTGAAAAAAAAAGAAAATGGAAACAAGATTCCAGAGAACCAAGGAGGGAAAAAAAACATTTTGACCCTATTCTCATGACCTATAAAGAACTTTATCAACAACTTCTTGACACCCATATAGTGTCACCATACCCGGTGGAACCCATGAAGCCCCCATACCTCAAATGGTATGATGAAAATGCTCATTGTGAGTATCACGGTGGTGTTTCAGGGCACACAATTGAGAACTGTTACGCATGCAAGAGAGTCGTGTAGAAGAGGCGTAATCAGAATTGGATCGACTTTAACAACTTGGGGGCATCCAAGTGAGGAAAATCATTTCATCATTTGAGGCATTCTGTTTGAGTTTGTTTTTTCATTTTTTTCTCAAGTTTTTGTAAGAACATTTGAGTAAATTTATGTTACTTTAATGATGACGCAATGAATCACATTTGCAAACTTGCAATTCTTTGAATATCAACTGAAATAAGAAACTCTGTAAATAGTTCAAAGTTATAAATCTTTGACAAAGTAACATGATTTAAAACAAGGACTTTGACCTTACCCAGAATATACCCTCAAACACCGTACCCTGCTCTTGCAATTAACCGATATAGTCTTTTCCTTTTCATATGGTGCGGACAACATGGGGCATCCTTTTGCATATGACATTATTATCTTTTTAACGCCCCTGCTTTATGGATTCAGCTAGCCAGATAACGGCAAATTAAATCCAAATTTATCTAAGCAAGAAATTTTTGGTAAAAATGGACTAAGGGAGTTAAGAAACACCTGTTATAGTCAATTTCACGCGAGCACTCAAGAATTTCATTTTTAGACCGATATTTATGCACTACCTTTGTTAGAGAAGCTTATAGAACTTGAACAAATGGACTCGAGACAACACAAGCTCAACTTCATAGCGAAGGGGCGACTGACTGTCAACAAATAAATTTTCAGTTTTATTCAGAGTCAATTTCAACTTCACAGTGAAGGATATTGGACTCGAGACAACACAAGCTCAACTTCACAGCGAAAGGGCGACTGACTGTTAACAAACAAATTTTCAGTTTCATTCAGAGTCAATTTCAACTTCACAGTGAAGGATATTGGACTCGAGACAACACAAGCTCAACTTCACAATGAAGAGCGCCTGACTGTTAACAAACAACTTTTCAGTTTCATTCAGAGTCAATTTCAACTTCACAGCGAAAGATATTAGACTCGAGACAACACAAGCTCAACTTCACAGCGAAGGGGCGACTAACTGTCAACAAACAACTTTCCAGTTTTAGAGTCAATTTTAACTTCACGACGAAGGATATTGACTTCGAAACAACCCAAATATTTGGATTTCAACTTCACAACGAAGGATATTGGCCTCGAAACAGCACAAATATTTGGATTTCAACTTCACGACGAATGATATCCAATTTGAGGCTGAACTTCACAAAGAATGGGTCATCTACGGTATCAACTTCACGAAGGGAATCGTGCCCACCAAAGTCCTTCGAGTTCGACTACGCTCAGCTTCGAGGGCACATCATTTACAACATAACTCAAGGCTAGAAGGGTTATCTGTCACCAAAGACCTTCAAGTTCGACTACGCTCAGCTCCAAGGCACATCATTTGCAATATAGCTTAAGTCGAGAAGGGTTATCTGTAACCAAAAGACCTTCGAGTTCGACTACGCTCAACTCTATCGTGCCCACCAAAGTCCTTCGAGTTCGACTACGCTCAGCTTCGAGGGCACATCATTTACACATAACTCAAGGCTAGAAGGGTATCTTCACCAAGACCTTCAAGTTCGACTACGCTCAGCTCCAAGGCACATCATTTGCAATATAGCTTAAGTCGAGAAGGGTTATCTGTAACCAAAAGACCTTCGAGTTCGACTACGCTCAACTCTAATGCATATCATTTGCAGTATAACTTAAGTCGAGAAGGGTTATCTGCCAACCAAAGATCTTCGAGTTTGACTACGTTCAGCTCCAAGGTACATCATTTGCAGCATAGCTTAAGTCGAGAAGGGCTATCTGCCAAATACCCTTGAGTTCGATTACACTCAGCTTCGAGGGCACATCATTTACAGCATAACTCAAGGCTAGAAGGGTTATCTGTCACCAAAGACCTTCGAGTTCGATTACACTCAGCTCAAAGACACCAACATTTGCAGCATAACTTAAGTCAAGAAGGGTTATCTGCCAATCAAAGACCTTCGAGTTCGATTACACTCTGCTCAAAGGCACCATCATTTGCAGCATAGCTTAAGTCGAGAAGGGCTATATGTTAAAGACCTTCGAGTTCGATTACATTCAACTCAGAGGCAAATCAAGCTTACACCATAGCTCAAGGAAAGAATGGCTATCTGTCAATAAAATTGTCGAGTTCGGTTCCATTCAGCTCGATGACACCCCAATCACACTATTGTCCGATTACAATCGAGGTTTTCAAGTCGAGAAGAAGACTCGGGTTAACCGTACCTCAATAACAAAAAAACCGTTTCCCGACAGCATAGCTTAAGTCGAGAAAAGCTATATGTCAACGAAGACCCTTCGAGTTCGATTCTATTCAGCTCGATGACACATCAAGAAACTATTTTCCAGTCAAATTTTCAAACCAAGTCCTTTAAACCGAGAAGAAGACCGAAGTTGACTACAATTTGGCAACGAGAAGTCACATCCTGATTCAAAT